CCATATTCATCTCTCTTCTCTTGAGAGTTTTTAACCACATACAGACTAATATTCACTTTCTTGAATCACTGGTCAAGCCAAAACAGGAGATAATAATATCAGTGTGGAGTAGCTAGCACATTTCATACTAGGTTTAATTTATGCATTTTGAATTATTTTGGAGTTTTTTTTATATATATTTTAGGATTAAGTATATGTTTTAATTAGACTGTAGAATTTGAGGAACTGCAATTTCCCAATACCCAAAGTTTCAGGATTCAGATCCAGTTTGGGCTGTATAGTTGTTTAAGGGATAGATTGCAATCTTCATTTCATGTAGTACTCATGTCCCTACATTAGTTTAGCACTTCCTGTACGTTCTGGATTATTGTCCATATTCATTAATTTCTCTTATTAAGAACACACGATTTACAATATCTCTATCTTTAATTAAAATAAATTTCAAACACACTTTTTTCTAGCATCTTGTGTCTGTTCAAATGGATAAATAATTGTAAGAATGAAGAGACTAACGTAGTAACGTGCAATGAAACTAACACAGAAAAGAACAAAGCTGGTGTTGAAGCATCACAAATAAGTACAGGATGGGCCAAGTTATCTATGGATGTATAGGAATCAGATTTAACCACTGGCTGAAACAAGTCGGGCGGTTTGATCAAGGTTATTAAGCTTTTATTTTCAAAACTAAATAGTGCTAAGACTATTTAGTCAGTACTAACATTACCAAAGTAAAACGTTAAACATCACGGTAATATATCTGTCATGTATGCCAGCACGCAACATAATATATCTAATCACTCCACCTCACAAGGACAGATGAAGTTAGCCCTTGCGAGTAATTAACCAATTTGAATTTTAAACCGCTACAGACTTCCGTCACTACGCAAGTAAAAGGCAGCTTATTGATCACAATATACTGAACATTACCTTCTATTGCTCTTGTTGACTCAGCCCCATCAGAACAAGCTCAATCCGTTCTAACATCTCAAGAAGGTATATAACTGCTTAAAGAAAAATGGATCTCATTGGTCGGGGTGATATGGCTTGCATTGTTTAAGGAAATGTGAAAAGCAAGTACTAGTTACGTTCTACCACCAGTACTGTCATACGCAACAAAAGGCTCACAAAAGCCTTCAATTCAACTTGAGCCTCTATCATCTATTTCTTTCTTATCGTCTTTTTTATACTTAATTAAGTTAATTTATGAGACTGTAAATTTCTTAAAATGCTTCAAACCTCACACCCTTTGTGAGGAAAATCTCTCCTGTGTAGCTCTGTAGTTTTTATTTTTTAATTTTGCATCGATGATGCTTTTGTTTTTCTGTAGGACAAGGATTTGCAATGATAAAAGAGGTTCCCTTGTGATTCTGAAGACTAAAAAACAACTACGAATAATGTCTTTAGTTTTTCTTCTATTTTTTAATAAGTGGGGAAAAAAGTAGAGAAGTGTATGTTAGCTGCTCGAAAAGAAGATGGTATAATGGCAGTCATCACATGGACAGATCTGGACTATACAGCTCTTGCCTTCCTGTGATGGAGGGTTAGAGCCGCAGTCTTCGCCTATTGGTTGCTTCGGATTGCACCTCGCTAGAACCAAAGAGTGAAAGACCCGACCCAATTAACTTTGTAAGTTAATAGATTAACTAAAAATACTTAAAAATTGTGTTGGTCCCAGTTTAACAGAGAAAGAGAAACAGTCTAGGGGAGTGAATAGAGTGGTCTAGTTTTTCAAGAATCGGTTTAACAGAGAAACAGTCTCAAGACCTAAGTCTTGCAGCATCATTAAAATCTAATAACAATTTATTCCTAACAAACTGGTCATACTGATTACCCATTTTTGTAAAGTGTAGGGTTAGGTCTGACCCTTGCATTATGGAGGTTGAGAGAATTATCCACCACTAATGATACAAGATAACTAAGCTTTGTTGTTTTATTTACATCTGAAGAACACAAGATACATATGTCACACAATTCCCTCTATGCATCACCACTGCTGATGTACAATAAGAAACAAATTGCAATATGTTTCTTGTTGGATATCAACAAGAGGAAACAACAATTGGGATGCAAGCAAGAATATTGTCGAAAGAAAGCTCAACGATTAGTGAAGAGATAGACATTAATAATTTTATATTAGCATGGACAAATAGAACAACTGATGCATTACAATAAGAAAAATTCGTGAAGTCAGAAGCAACAAAGTGCAACAACAGTGATGTAGCACCTGAAGAATGATTGATATACAAGAACCATGCTGAGTTCAAGAAAGCACCGAAGTTGAATGCTATAAAAAATCATTTCCAGTACGTGACATATATGTCAAATAAGAATTTTTTGTAGCAAAGTGCTTGGATGAAAAATGTTGTTAGGAGATAAAAGCAAGACAAACTGGAACATTGGGAAGGTTTAAGGTTGTGAAGCATGTAAATACACATTCTTGCAGATTGGAACATTGGGAAGTAATAATATCAGCAGATCAAAGGCATGCAACATCAAGTTTGGTAGCAGAATGCATTTTGTCTAATGGAGAAATTGCTTTCAATGTGGGTTTAAATTAGACCTGTACAAACACGGGCCGGCCCGCCGGGCCTGCCCAGCCCGCCCATATAAATGGGCGGGTCTAGACATGTATATTTGCCCACCAGCTGGCCCGGCCCAAGCCCGATAAAAATGTGGGCGGGTATGGGTTCAATTGTAGGCCCGTTCGGGCCAAAAAGCCCGGCCCGAAAAAGTAATATATATATGATATGATATGATATGATATGATATGATATGATATGATATGATATGATATGATATGATATGATATGATATGATATGATATGATATGATATGATATGATATGATATGATATGATATGATATGATATGATATGATATGATATGATATGATATGATATGATATGATATGATATGATATGATATGATATGATATGATATGATATGATATGATATGATATGATATGATATGATATGATATGATATGATATGATATGATATGATATGATATGATATGATATGATATGATATGATATGATATGATATGATATGATATGATATGATATGATATGATATGATATGATATGATATGATATGATATGATATGATATGATATGATATGATATGATATGATATGATATGATATGATATGATATGATATGATATGATATGATATGATATGATATGATATGATATGATATGATATGATATGATATGATATGATATGATATGATATGATATGATATGATATGATATGATATAATATAATACATTATACATATAATATATTACACATGTAGCAAGTGGAATGAAGTACCTGAGTAACCTGACAAGTCAAGTTTTACTCCTGAGTCCTACTCTTGAAACTCCTGGGAGCTAAATCATTATTTGTGTTTTGCTAAGTAAATTTCAAGCGACTGTAATGGGTGACTTTTTAAGTCTTTTGGAGTGTTTGGACACTTTTGTTTCAACTTATGGTTTGACTTTAAATTAAGGGTATTGTTTTTTATAAACGTTTTGTTCAAAGTAGTTAGTGTTTGTCATGAAGGCAGATTAATGTCATTGAGCTTATTAATTGATTTTAAGATGTTGTGATTTATTTTAGAAATGCTAAACTAATGCTAAATTTTTCTGGGTTCGGCAGCCAGATGGACTGCCCGACCCGCTAGTATGGGCGGGCATGGATATGGGAGGAGGCCCGTTTGATCCGGGTCGGGCTGGGCCCGCCCATTGAAGTGGGTAGAACTTTTAGATAACGCCCGGCCCGAGTCCATGTTTGTACAGGTTTAGTTTAAATTAGTGCAAGTAGTCCAGCTAGGGGTGGACTGGGCCGCTTCGACCCGACCCAAGACATGACCCTGCCCATTATTGTACAGGCCCGACCCGACCTGGGGTCCATGACAGGGACTGGGGCTCGAACCAAGGGCTTATAGAGGCGGGCTACAGGCTTTGAAATAGGTGGACCGGTCGTGCAGGGCCGAACCTAGTCTGAGCCCAGTTTTTTTTTTTTTAAATTTTTCGGGTTGGACTGGTTCTAGGTAGGGGTGGACTCGGGCCGGTTCGGGCCCGGTTCGGGCCTGGGCCCGGCCGGGCCTCGGGCCAGAAAAATAGGGCCCGGGCCCGAACCGCCGGTGGGCGGTTCCGGTTCCGGTTCCGGGCCAAACCGGGCCGGGCCGGGCCGGGCCAACCGGTCTATTATTTTTTTTTTTTTTTTTGGTTCTCCTTTTTAACCCCCTACCCCTCCCCCTCAACCCCAAACCATCCCAAACCACCTCAAATGGCCCAAAATACCTAATCCAACCCAAAACTTAAAAAAATTTCAAAAAAAAAAAAAAAAAATTAAAATCCGGCCCGGACCGGGCCCGAACCGGCCGGGCCGGTTCACCAAATGGAGGGCCCGGGCCCGGAACCGGTATCCACCGGGCCGGTTCGACCCGAACCGCCGGTGGACCGGGCCACCGGGTCGGGCCGGTTCACACAGTAGCCGGGCCGGGCCGGGCCGGTTCCGGTTCGGGCCGCCCGGCCCGAGTCCAGCTTGGGGTGGGGGGGGGGGGGTTGGAGGTGGGGGTTCAAATTAATTCCAAAAGACAATAAAAAAATTAGTTTTTGCTTGGCCTGACCCGATCCCGGTTCTAACCCGAGCCCGTACCAGGCATGTATATTTATGACCCAGAGCCCGGCCCGGCCCTGGCCCAGTCCACCTCTGAGTCCAGCTTGCTAGTGTTTACAAAGGAGAAGCAAAATAGGCACTCAAATGAAACTGAAATTGGATCCAACCAACTAGGTGGTGTTAGCCTTCCCACAAAACCGAAGGCATTTATATAGGTACTGATTAATCATCGCTTTGTTATCAACAACGACCTCATAATTTTTCAAAGAACACCATATTTATTATGCCCCGTTGTCCAGGGTATGTCTGAGAGTCTGAGACAATAGTAACCAGATTACCAGAATAATAAGACCAAGAGAGTCCAACAACAAAATTATCAAGTCAGGTATGGGGGGAAATGAAATCACCAGCATGCACTATGCACCATGCATAATTTCACCATGCACGTGCAAGCAGTTAACTTAAAATTCAAATTTTCAAATCCATAACATTAACAGTTTGTCTCTTGAATAGGCTTAGGCCATTGATTTACAACCAATCAATTATGAACGACACTCAATTAACAAGTCCGGAGGAAAATAAAATTAGTCAAGAAGAAATAACCCTATGTGCAGAGTTACGAACAAAAAAGAAGGAAGTTTATAGAATTAGCAAATAGCAAGAGATGCTCAGAAAGGACGTTGCCAGCCAGTTGCCACCCTCTCAAAAAATGCAAAATACTGAGAAAAATGAGAAAGGGGGAATTCAGAAAATAAGCTAGAAATTAATGACACATGGAGGTTTATAACCTGATAGAAGAGGTTGCCCTCGTGATTCTGAAGACTAAAAAACAACTACAATTAATGCCTTTAGTTTTTCTTCTATTTTTTAGTTAAAGCGGGGAAATAAGTAGAAAAATCGGAAATGTAAGTCAGTTGCTTGCAAAGAAGATGGTATAATGGCAGTCAACATATGGACAGATCTGGACTATACAGCTCTTGCCTTCCTGTGATGGAGGATCGAAGCCGCAGTCTTTGCCTATTGGTTGCTTCGAATTTGCACCTCGCTTGAACCAAAGAATGAAAGACCCAACCCAATTAACTTCGTAAGTTAATAGAATAAATAAAAATACTTAACAACTGGTCATCCTGATTGCCCATTAAGTCTCACCCTTGCATTATGAGAGGCTGAACTGCTCTACTCCATTTATTTCTCATAGAGAAAGGAACTTATCATAACTCACCTCAAACAAGTATCCGCCCTCACCAACTAATGCAGTACCCATCTTCTCACCCCTAACTACAACGAGTTGCTCAGATCCGGAACCAACTATGTCACACTAATACTTGAAATTATAGAGTAACACTTATAAATCATCAGCCTTCAAAACATAACTGGAGTATATATCGATAGATTATGCTGAAAATGGTGTGAGCCAAGTTGCTTCCGCCAGCTGATCGGTCACATGCTTTAATCACTCTGGCACCATTGACAGGTATTGGTGTGGGGGAGAACTGCGGAGAAGTCATACAAAACATTTTATAATAAAAATAATCATTGGAATGAATTATACATACAATGTACTGGTAATTGATAAATTGTAATCTTCGTTATTTAGACTTTTTTAATTGAAAAGTAACTAAAAGAGTACTGTTTTAAAACCAAAGAAACAAAAGTAGAACTTTAAGCATAAGGCAATTGCATAAGAGAGGATGACTATCTAAGGAAGAAGCATGAGGAGGAATCATTGTACATATGGCTTGCTATCCCAAGCCTCCCTTGCTTCAAGCATGTATGGACAGTATCTCTTTGCCAAAATCTCGACTTGTTCGGCAAACGGTTTGGTTTCATGGTTACCGATGTGACGAACCATCTGCTTCCAACGCTTCAGAGTTACTTCACCAGACCTGTGCTCAAGAATGTTGTCCCAGTCCACATTTTCTATACAGCTTCCATCCAATTCATAGAGTGCACCCACCAGTCTATAATCATCAGAATCTGTCCACTTGCCTTCGGCAACCAAAGGTGATGTTAAGTGGCGGTACCATTTGTTACAACACTTTGTGTTATTTCGCGAGGCCAACTTGTCACTTATTGCAATCCAGCAAATGTTGTCACGCAACATACCATGTCTGGACTTCTTCTCCTCAGAGACCTTCAGTTGCAAATCGATATTCACTAAATCAAACAAAGTTTGGTATTCCTCTTGAGACCAACGGCCCTTCTTCAAATTGGGAAGCTTTATTCTTCTAAGCCATGCATTAAAGACGTGAGTTCTGTACTTCCCAAGTTCCTCAGCCATTTCTGCCCACCGATTCCCATGTTTTTCATGATACTTTTTTACAAATTCATACTCTTCTTCGGTCCAAGGGATTTCGCTTTTGCGAAACATCTTTTGAGCACGATTGTAAACAGCTCTGTAGGGTCGTTGAGGAAGGGCAGCCCCTATTTGTTTCCAACAGCCTCTCAGGTTTGGCAAGGATTTGCAGTTTAGAACCATATTGAGCCCCTCATCACCCAATTCATGTTCCTCTATGTACTTAGAAACAGCTTCTTTGATGATCTCATCTTCTTCTTTTGAGAACCGCTTCCCTTCAACTAATTTGTCCACTTCCTTGTTTTTTTCCTTGTTCTTTTCAGGACCATTTACAACCGGACAACCCTCCAACTCATCAGCAAGTTGCACTCTTTTGTTTTTTCTGGGGTTTGCATCTTGGGGATCACATCCGCCCAATTTCTCCTTGACATTGGCAGAAAAAGCATTACTTTTCCTTTTATTCTCCCTATTCTTCTTCTTCTTCTTCTTTGTGGCCATGTCTTTACTATCTTCAGTGCACTCATCTGTGAGTTTTACCTTCTTGCTGATTTTATTTTGCATCATCTTAGTTGCAACTGAATGTGTGTTATTATCCTCACTGTCTAAACCAAAAGTATTTTTTATCCCATCTACATTGTGTTTAACATTTCTTTTCCTTTTCTTCATTTCCACTTGACTTGCACAACATCCACCACCCTCCTCGCCCATTCTTCTTTCATTGTCTACTGAACCTTCCAAGACCTTCTTTGTCTTTTTCTTTTTCTTTTTATTTTCAAAAGCTTCAGTGGACTTTCTCCTCTCGATGAAACCTCCTTCCTCAAAAACTTTGTGTTCCTGCACTTTCTCATCCATTGCAATGTGATCCAAATGGATTACTTCTAAACCATTGTTTGTATTTTTCTCTTCTGTTTGCTTAAACTTTTTATGCCTCTTCCTTGATTGCTTGAGAAAAGTAGCTCCCCCATCTTCAACATCCATGCCTACACTAACAATAGTTGCTAAGAAGAGATTCACGCCATTTAGTCTTTAAATCCACGCAGTCTATTATCTATAACTCCTAGTTATTTCATAATTAAAATAACTAGGACAAAAACACATTACCATCATCATGGACTATATGGTGCAGTCTTTTCAAAGAACGAAAAATTGGAGTAAACTGTTGATCTTAAAGTCGCAAAATTGAAATCCCTAATCTTAGAAACGAGAACACCAACTTACAGGAGATCCAGAAAAAAATTAATCAACTGTTTGGAAATAAAAAAAAAATGAATGTAGAGCAAAGAATGAGTCTTACTGTAATTAAGCTCACGAATGAGCAGCCAGTTCGACGTCGTAGTCGACGGAGATAGGCAGGTCGTCGACGGCAGGGATCGTTACGGGCTTTGCGTGAGAAACTTTCGGAAAATGACGAAATTGGGTTTAAAGCTTGGTGCATAAGATTTATTACCAGGAAATAACTAGCTTTCACATACACTCTAAGGGCCCGTTTGTTACAACGTAAAGTAAACACTTTGCGTGTAAAGTGTGGGGAATTAAACATTTTACATCGTTTGTTTTAATCATTTAATGTAAACTGTAGGACACTATTTTAATAACACTTTACACCGTACCATGTAAAATATTTTACGTGGTGGGAGGGTAGTAAACTACTTTACACCCGGAATAAATATACTCGATTCCAACCTAGCACGTACTCAAAACTCCATCATAGCGGTAAAGCAAAATTATTGCAGGCAGGTTTTCTCTTCCTACCCTCCTACCAGTCCTACGTAGTATACAAGAAAACAAGAGGTTCTATACTTTAAATCTGCTCCATCCATGTTAATTTGATATACTCCGTACTAAGCAATTCTTTTTTGTTAATTTTTGTAATTTTCGTTTATACGTATGTAATGTAGTATATAAAGCTTGTTACGATGTGTGCTTGGTTTATTTGCTCAATCCGTTTTGACAACGAGAGATGAATTAATCTTTCTCTGCCACGCATGTTTAATTTTGTTTGCGTGTAATTTAAAAATAGATAATACAGATAGTCAAACGATGTATTCTATTTTACATGTAAACTATTTTACTGCCCTAAACTTTACATGCAATCATTTTACATGTAAAGTTTTAATGAGTAAACTACCAAACGAGCCCTAAGATTTGAGGAGGCGGCAGGGCCGGCTCAATAAATTAGGAGACCCGGTGCGAGTCACAAAAAATAGGCTTTATATTAAATCAATACAATACCAAAAATCAACCTTAAAAAACCCAAAAAAAATTACAAACAAATATGAGATTGAGAAATGATCACTTTTTCGAACTTCAACAAATAAAATTATTAAAAAAATCTAAAATCGGAAATGAACGAATGAAAATACTCAAAATAGTATAAGAGAAAGTGAATTTTTTACCTTTGGTTGAATAACCTGAATAGTTAGATCATTCGGTCAAATAAAGTAATCAACTATTTTCAAAAATAATTACCCTATATATACACTATATAAATTTTACAAAAAAATGGGCCTTATATTTTTTGAGGCCCTGTGCAGAGGCACGCTTTGCACGCCCTCATCTACGGCCCTGGGAGGCAATATTTTAAATAGAATACGATAGTATTAGTTATTGAAATTTCCAAGTGTGCTTTATACTATCTATATTTTACCACTCAAATATTATCTACAAAATAATGAATATCTTTGTGAGGATCAATCGCTTATCACCTCGATACCAAAAGTTATAACCAGTAGCCAAAACACAACTTTATGTCTTTGTACTTATGTAGCAGTCAAGCAAGACAAAATGATTGTACCAACAAATTGGCAGATTGTTGGTATCGCAATCCCCCGACACCTACCAGCCTACAATTGCACACTATGCTATTGTCGGGGTGGAACCCATAACCTGACGTGATACCCATTGTGAGGATCAAGTGCGTACCACTACTCTAAAAGATATACGTAGTAGTCGACAGCGATGAAGAGACTTTACTTTTTTATTTGTGTAACATTCAAGCACAACAGATCGATTGCACCACATTCATAGCCCGACAATCCTTAAAAGAAAAAGACATGTTCCTTCAACCGTCGATATTGAGGAATGTAGTCAAGAGAATGCTTAGCACTTCGAAATTTTGATTTGCAATTTTTAGTCTGCATTGCAATTATTTTCAAGACACGTATTGTATCACTTTTTCCCCTTAAATTTTATTGAAATATAACTAGTAACAAAATTATTAGTCATAGTCACTATTATTAGTAGTAACACGTATTACCATATAAAAAAAATAGTAACACGTATAGTACCACTACATAACTATACTATGTTTGTATCTTCATAGTCACTCTGTCTTTACTTTAAACATATATTCTTCACTAAGTATAGATCTAAAATCACATTTTGTCGACTACTCGTATTAGCTTGTCTACATGCATGTATATTGTTAAGTAACTTTCTTCCTCAATCCTAACCAATATTTTTCCAATGAGTTTCCAATTGAGCTAACAAATGAACATCCAGCTTCAATAGAATCAATACTAGCTACCCTTCTGTTAAGGCAATAAATTGTACGAACTTCCTAAGAAGAAGATAGTTTGAAACCAAATTTAATTTTTTCAAACATAAATCTATTTATATTATATTCCTTAGCTAGGTATATAGAACCTTAGTTTAGAAAATCTAATCCATTTGGCCTAAAAGACGTGTAATGAGCTAGGTTGTAGGTCTTACATTGATGTTTATGTCACACTTTAGGGTAAAAGGTTTATCATTCTCTTCTTTGGAATTACTAGTGATTGCCTAGAATATACGGAGTACAGAATTTTTATTTTGGAGAATGTAATAAATTTAGCCTATATTATGATTAGATTTTAGTGTTTAGCATTGACGTTTATGTCAATTAGGGTATAGAATTTACCAATTTCTACTTTGGAACCATTGGTGATTGCTCGATAGGCGACAACTAGGTGGCGGAAACTTGAGATATATCGTGAGAATGTGTATTTTGAATTTTTGATCCTATTTGAAGACATTTCCTTGTTTCAAATACAAGAGTATGACCAACAAGAATGTAATGCATGTAACCATACAGCCATACTACCGTTATTATAGCTTTTAATTTGGATTATATATTCCAAAGGTTAAGTTCCCAAGATTGAACGCTTAATTTTAATTTCCACATATGTAAATTTTGTCTTATCATTCTAATTGCAAAATTATCATACATGTAAGAGTTCATGATTTCATAGTCAAATATCAAAACTCACGTGACTATAATTTTGTGATGAATAAATAAATAAGAAGCCAAGTATATATAAGGGTATTTACCACATCATCATTTATCATTTGCAATGAAGCCAAAGAACTTGAGAATATGTTGGAATAAAGCAAAATGTCTCACTAAACTGTATGCGCTTCTTTATTATGAAGCAGTATAGTTGTCAGTACATGCAATTCTGGACGCGATTTTCACTATAAATCATCCGGAAACAGTCTCTCTGTGCTTTAGTACAGGAGTAAGATTGCGTACATCCGATCTCGTTACTCCACTGGCCTTTGCGGCATGGGTAAGTGAAAATGATCATTTATCAAATGATACTACATACGGAGTAGTATTATTTACTCATGGTTAGGATAAATGACAAAAATAAGAATATACTACGTATGTCTAAAAAAAGACGTGGTTTTAAAGATGGACAAAAAGATAGACTAATAGGCCTTTCATAAATCATAATATAACCATTCACCCGCGTTGAGCCATACGACGATCTAAATCTTCTCTTCATATTGATTAGATTAGATGCAATACATTAACAAAAAAAAATACTATCATTGTATTTCAAATACTATCAGTGTAACTTAAAGAGCTATAAGTTGACATCAAATATTCGACAGGGCTTAAAGGAACTGCATTCTATTTCATTGAGTAATAATGTATTGGGAAAAAAGGATGACACCCCATCCCTAAGGGCCCCCAACACCGACCGGACAGTACAATGAGAGGATGTAAGTTGGACTATAATCACAACCTGACAGATAGAGAGTGGGGCTCCGTCCCCGGTACTTGCAGAGGCCCTATACATTTTTCAGCATAGTAACCCCTTATCGCAGTTGCCGGGATTCGAACCCGATAATAGGCTAATATAATTAGGAATCTACCTAATAGATATTTAGGAATCTGCCTAATATCTATTTAGGAATACTTTATATTTTGGCAACTCTTCTATTATAAATATATCTGTCAGGACTCCTATTGGAGTACCTCTTTCCCATTATTTCACATGGTATCGAGAGCTTAGGTTTTTAGATACAATTTTTTTTTCTTTTCTTTTTTTTTTTTTCGGTTCCCATGAACCCTAGTACAGCCGCCGCCGCCTCGGGGTCGAATGCCGCCACATTTACGGTTGTCTCCGATCCTTTGAAGATGAGCGCGGCTAATATGGCGCAGATCACCTCCTTCGCGTCGCTGAACACGGTGCTTGCTTCCAGCATGCCGTTGAGTTCGCCGCCTGCTGCTGCCTATGTCCGCGCAGCCCACCTTCTCTGCGTCGCTGACCACGGTGCTTGCTTCAAGCGCGCTGTTGAGTTCGCCGCTTGCTGCTGCAGACATATATTCTCATGGAAATTTTATTGTCAAAGATGTGTCTTCTAATCTTCCGCTCACAGATATATTTACTAAGAGTTTTTTTTTTTAGTTTGCAATTTTATTTTTTTAAAAGACAACCTGTGCGTTGTATCTCCCGCACAGTTTGAGGGGGTGTAATAGGCTAATATAATTAGGAATCTACCTAATAGATATTTAGGAATCTGCCTAATATCTATTTAGGAATACTTTGTATTTTGGCAACTCTTCTATTATAAATATATCTGTCAGGACTCCTATTGGAGTACCTCTTTCCCATTATTTCACACCCGAGACCTAACCCTTGTGGCACTCACTCGCTACTAGTTGAGCTACGTCCACCGGTAAAACAAAACATGTGAGTAAAGTGGGATTCGAACCCCTTATCATTTTTTTAAATAATGTATTGGGAAATTGCTCTAACTATGATTAAAGTGGTTTTGAAATTGCAAAATAGGACTACTATTTTTTCTTCCCGAAATTGGAGTTCACTATTGCCATAATTGAAAAATGATGCCATTAATGGCAATAAAATATGAACATGTTAATTCTAGTACTACAACTATTTTGACAGCAAATAATAGCATGTAACTTTTATTTTAGAACATTTTCAATGCTACAATATGCACGGTGCACATGTGCCATGAGAGAGATAGACACAAAATATTAATTTTATGACATTTCTCTCTCCTTCTTTCCACGGTCTTATGCGTTTTTGGTAAGTTTGTGTCTGCAATGTCAACCGCAATGTCTACATCTAGACATTGTGCTTGACATTGTGAAGAAAAACTTACCAAATTGATGTAAGATCCTTTAAATAAGGA